GACTAGATGAGCCATGCCGGGATGCGCTGGCCACGGAAGGTTAGACTCCATGGAGAACAGAACAAGAAAGACCTCTGGCCGTAACAGTTTTTAAAAGTTGGTAATATCAGTTGTCCTTTTGTAACAGATCTAGTTGAATGACCACTTCCAGAATTTGATTTGGGCAACAATGCACAGAGAGGTCCATAATTGGCACCTTGGAAGATCTGAAAATATAAATTCTAACTTCTTATTGTTTGTGTTGTTTACACCAAGTCTGTCGTTGTTGCTTTAAATCCCAAACATAATATAGAACAAGGGTATAATTTTCATGTTTTTATCATTTCTTTGTTTCTTTGTTTTCACTTTTATTCCAGTAGTTAGTGTTTAATTGATGTAGCCTCTGCTAACCAATGTTTGTGTGTGTGTTTTAGGTATCCCAGTCAACATGTGTTTTGTTCGGAGCAGAGCTGGTCTGGATCAGGTCTATGTGCCCAGGACAAAGACCCAGACAGCCCCGAGGAGCAGGACTCCACACAGAACCAGGTGCTTTTAAACATCTTTATTCACATCAAATGTTCTGTTCAGTTAACCTGAATCAGTTCACTCCTCTTTAAATGACACCATGACAGCACCAACCAGAGAGGATTTGTAACTATGTAAGACTGATTGGTTGTGTACTGGCTGTTTAATGTATTCCAACCAAAAAGAAAAGAGATAATTAGAGAAAATAATACATCATCTGTGCGTTTGTTTGAGGTAGGGCTGCAGCTAACCGTTATTTTAGTAATTGATTAATCTATCGATTATTCTGACGAGTAATCGGATAATAAAGAAATTGTCATGTTCTGCAGTAATTATTTAAGCTTATTTTATGAGAAATACAATTATTTAATAATGTGAAGGGGTAATATACACCTGCTGATGACCCTGCTGCAATCAAAGTAAAATGACACCAGTTGTATTAATTAATGTATTTTAAACTCCAGTTGTTTGTATTTATGTGTGTGTGGTTTGAGGAGGCATTAATTAAAAACACTCTGTCACTGAATCATTTTAACATCACTGAACAAATAAATGATGTAAATTTATTCTTATGGATTGGAAAATTGAATGTCTTTTTTTGTTAGAAATTTAATAAGTAAAATGAGTAATATAAACATTTGGGTGTTGCAGTTCAGTTTTGTAGAGTTCACTTGTTAATTGTAACAAAAAATATTTTAAGACTGTTATTAGGTTGATGCAGGGCTCCCATTTAGGCAATAAAAGATTTAATCTTGACTGCTTAGCTATAAACAAATATAACAGTAGTAATGAAGGCTAAAATCATAAAAAGCAGCAGCAAATAATAAAATAATCCAATTATCTTCTATAAATACTTTTAAACTTGAAATATTTACTCCAAGTATCATTTAAACTAAGATAAAATCATATCAACAAATAAACATGTTTCAGCTCAAGCTGTCGATCTGTTGTTGTGCTTTTATTTTTATCTGACAAACTCACAGTAAGTCTTGTTTTTAATCACACAACTTACACACTGTTTAATAAAACCCTGCCAGGTCACCATGATTAGTCAGCAGAAATAACGTTAGTTTATATATACAGCGGGTAAAATAAGTATTGAACACGTCAGCATTTTTCTCAGTAAATATATTACTAGAGGTGCTAATGACATGAAATTTTCACCAGATG